TCACACACACACACACACACACACACGTTACACACACACACGTTACACACTCCACTCACACACACACACACACGTTACACACACACACACACGTTACACACACACACACACACACACACACACACACACACACGTTACACAGATTGTCACCTGTCCTGTTCTGTGTTATAGGGCTAATTACTGCTAAACTGGACCATGTTTGTATTGCAACTGAATTTAAGCAATGATTTTCACTGACAGATACTGAATCTATTTAATTATACATCTATATGTTTACAAATGCACACGTACAGCTAGATATTTTGCACTATCTGAAGAAAATGTGACTCAGCAAAGTGCTAGGGTAGTTGGGAGTTTGCAAGGGCATTGCTATGATGTTTTAATTATTTTTTTTTCTAGTTGGTTGATTATAGGTTCAAGTCAAACAAATCCACCCCCAGCCAGTCCCTACTTACAGTGTATTTTTTCCTTCACCCGCAGAATTTCACAGCACATCTCTCTCTTTCTTATACCATTATACGTTTTTAGGCCCTGTGTGAATGGTATTTAATTAGACACAACAAGGCCCTTTAGTGCAGCAATGCAATATGACTGTATTCCTCACCTTTTACCTCAGTTTATGATTAATGTACGCGCTTTTGGACAAAACCATTCATGTCTGAATTATTGACATTCAAACATATTCTACTTTTTTTCCATAGCATATAAGGTCTTGCCCATTACACTTGAGTACATTGTCCAGGTCAATGGTCATATTGTGTTTTCTAGTGCATTTGAAGTGCATTTCAGCTGTGATAATTAGCTTGTATGCCTGTATCATGGGATACTACTGTACATGTGCCATTTCCAAAGGTGGTGTAACTCGATTAATGGTTATATTGCCATACCAAATAATCACTCATTTTGAAGCTAGAAATGCATTGATTTGTAAAATAATGTAAACGAAATTATTCATATCAGGCTGTTTAAGGGTTTATTGGATGTCCAAAACAATTCTGTTGTGGCCCAGAATCTTTTCTGCTCTAGTTTCTGTGAAAATAAGGTTTCTGCAATTCTCACAAAATGTGACACATCTAGCTCAGCTGAATTGAATCTGACAGCCTCATAAGAAACGGACTATGAAATTGGGGCTCTAGTACAAAGAATTATTCAATGATTTATTATACAGTATGTGCAGTGTAACATTCAGAGTTATGCATTTTACATGCTGACCTTCAGTGCAGACTAACTGAAAAGATCTTTATTTTTCTTTTTTCAGAGACATGAGGCCTCTTCTGAAGAACACCCTTGAATATTTCCCTCACTGAGGATGTGCAATGATTTCTGCTCGGCACAACCGCATCTGAGGTCACTTCTTCTCTAGACCCTCTTTTATACCTCAGGGTTGACTTTCAAAACTCTTAAGTGTCTGTGTGCTTCCTGTTGAGCACCGCTGGATTTGAGACCAGTTTTGCTTCATTGCATCCGGAGTGCAAAACTGCTGAAACATTGCCCTCCATGGTTTCTGCCCATTTCAAGAAGCTATCGTCTTACATCGTAAAGATTTGCAAAGGAATGTTTACAAAGAAACTGGCAAATACCACAAAGAAGAAAGAGAGTAGTGAAAACAAAAAAGAACCCAAAACGTCCCCCGAACTGCAATCACGGAACCCGACGTTCTCAACCACACTGAAAAGCACAGTAAAAAAAATCTCCAAATGCGCGTCGGCACGCAATATATCTCTTGAGGAGGATGACGGAAAAACCGACTGTTCTTCTCTTTCGCCAACATTCAGTTACCGTGTAGCAATTGCCAATGGACTTCCAAAAAATGCCCTCTTTCTGAACAATGAGTTTCATGAGGTCTTGTCAATTGGTAGCGATTACTCTTACTCTCTAAACGAGGCAAAACTTGTCCATAGATTCGATGAACAAAAAGCTTATACAATGCCAGGAAGAAGGAACAGGAAGAGCTTGATTAGTTTAGCGCCCTCTGATGGCAGCTCGGAGGGGGAGCGGGGAGAGCGCAGCAGTCTCCACACCCTTCGATTGGGTGCTCTGAAAAAACTGAGGAAGTGGAAGAAGAGCCAAGAATGTGTGTCCTCGGACTCAGAGGCCAGCAACTGGAGAAAGACTCTTGGCATCAGAAGCAAATCTCTGGACCGGGCTGGCCGACACCAGAAAACCACTACCCTGGAGCCGGGGTCCAGCTCGACGGGATGTATCAGTCAGACTCAGGATGTGATGGAGATGATCTTCAAAGAACTTCAGGGAATCAGTCAGATCGAGTCTGAGCTCTCAGAACTTCGAGGGCACGTTAACGCCCTCAAAAGCTCCATCGACGAGATCTCCAGCAGCGTGGAGGTGGTGCAGAGTGAAATCGAGCAGCTACGTTCAGGGTTTGTGCAGTCCAGACGCGAGACTCGAGACATCCATGATTACATCAGACAGATTAGCCAACAGACCAACAAAGCTACTCTGAGATTTCTAAATGTGCCTGAGGAGAAGTACGAAAAAACGGAAGACCTTATTTATCAGATCCTGAAAGAGAAAATGGGCTTCGCTGAAGCATGATTTCTAAATGTGCCTGAGGAGAAGTACGAAAAAACTGAAGACCTTATTTATCAGATCCTAAAAGAGAAAATGGGTTTTTCTGAAGCACGCAAGACATTTAAAATTGAATTGGCCCATCGACTAGGACAACAAAGAGAATGTTACAATGCTAAACCTCGACCAATTGTAGTTATATTTTCAAGCCCACAAGACAGGGATTTAGTTTTGAAAAAGTGTTATAAGCTAAAAGGGACTGGAATATCCATTTCGACAGATAGTCTAGCACACGATTCAAAAGAAAAGAGAGACAAGCCGATGGCTTCCTCTCAGACATATGAAAGCATGGACATCAAGGTCTCAGCCAAAGACAAGGCTGAAAGTGATGACTGGGACTCAATGGAGAGCGACAAAGAGCTTGATGAATTAAACAAGAACAAATTTGCAATTGTGTCCAAACCACCTCTAAAAAGTAAATCGGACAAGAAAAAGTCTCACGATCAGCGAAGGATGGCAGATGACTCTGCATACTCTGTGCACTATGCGGATAATACAGCCTACGATGATCACGACAAGCAAAGCAAGTCCTACTATTCTGACATAACACCTGGATGGCTGTCTCAGAGCGACTACTCCACTCCCAAACTCAGTCGGTCTGAATCGGACTGCTCCAAACTTTGCCAGTCTTACTCCGAGGACTTCTCAGAGAGTCAGTATTTCAGCAGAGTCAACGGCTGTTCCTTGCTTTCCTCCTCAGATCAGGAACTTTGGCAACGGAAGCAAGAAGACATGGCATCCTCCTGGTACGCTAGTCCCCCCAGTCAAACTCTGAGCCAAGAACAACCTTATGCGGAACATAATGAAGTTGAAACCACAGAGACTATTGACAGTGGTGTAAGTAATTGTCTTGTTTGTATATCAGGGGACAGGAGCCATTACAGCGGTTCTCAGCTGTCGCTGCAGGGTGACCTCTCACCGTGGAAAGATTGGCATCACATTGAACAAGGTGCTGATTCAGGTTTGGAAGCCTCCACTGAACAGAACATAATATCTGAAATCAGTAGCCCCTTTGACCCTACAGCTAACCCTGGTTTCCCTGAGAAAATTACTAAATGCCTTGAGGTTGATTTGCAATTTGAAGGTGAGACCTTTTTGACACTAGATAGCACTCCTGAGACAGGCCAAGACCAAGATATAGATATAGAAACTGAATTTTTGGAACCTGAGCTTGAGCCAGAACCAGAACCAGAATCAGAACCAGAACAAATGCCACAGCCTGAACCAGAACCTGAACCAGAGCCAGAAGTTGTGATTGAACCCATACCAAAACCAGTACCTAAACCTGTGGCTGAATCCTCAGATCAGGAACTTTGGCAACGGAAGCAAGAAGACATGGCATCCTCCTGGTACGCCAGTCCCCCCAGTCAAACTCTGAACCAAGAACGACCTTATGCGGAACATAATGAAGTTGAAACCACAGAGACTATTGACAGTGGTGTAAGTAATGGTCTTGTTTGTATATCAGGGGACAGGAGCCATTACAGCGGCTCTCAGCTGTCACTGCAGGGTGACCTTTCACCATGGAAAGACTGGCATCACCTTGAACAAGGTGCTGATTCAGGTTTGGACGCCTCCACTGAACAGAACATAATCTCTGAAATCAGTAGCCCCTTTGACCCTGCAGCTAACCCTGGTTTCCCTGAGAAAATAACTAAATGCCTCGAGGTTGATTTGCAATTTGAAGGCGAGACCTTTTTGACACTAGATAGCACTCCTGACACGGGCCAAGATCAAGATATAGATATAGAACCTGAATTTTTAGAACCTGAGCCAGAACCAGAACAAATGCCACAGCCAGAACCAGAACCAGAACTGGAGCCAGAACCAGAGCCAGAGGCTGTGATTGAACCCATACCAGAACCAGTACTTAAACCTGCAGCGGAACCGCAACCCGAAAAGAAGCCCAAGACCAAGAAGATCCAAGCTAAGCCTGAATCAGCTCCACAAACTTTGCAGCGACAGGATGTGAACCACCTCCAGCAGAACCCGAAATCGTCCTCCATGTACCGGAGCCAGAGCGAGATCAGAAATGAGAAAGTGGAGGAAGTCCCCAAATCCTGGAGTAGCAGGCTCAGCATAGATCTCAGCGAAAAAACCTTCAGCTTTGGAGGATTTGGATCCTCCCTGCAAAGAGCAAAGTCAGCTTTGGATTTTGTGTGGAATAAAGGTTCTCAAAGCACTAGCGCCCCAGTTGAAGAACCGAGCAACACCTCATTTATGGGCAGGTTCAGAACCATGTCCCAGTCCACAGCGAACAGCTCCAGCACAACCATTGACTCTGACGTCTACACAGAACCTTTCTATTTCAAGGCAGAAGAGGAAGAACAACCTGCTGAGCAACCTGTGGACAATGAGACACATTATGTTGAGGTGATGGAACAAGTGCTGGCCAATCTGGAAAACAGAACAAATGCTAACGAGGCTGAGGAGCAGTACCAAGAAGAGGAATACGATGTTTTGCAAGAGTATGACATCTCGCAAGAGGGTAACCTCGTGCTGGAATATGACTGCAGCCTTGATGAGGAATACAGTGAGGACTATGATGACAATCCGATGACTGAAGACACAGAGGAGTATGAGGTGAGTTTGGTGGATTATGTGGAAGAAACCGAGGAACCAGAAGCAGAGACCGAGGAACAGGAGGAGAGCAAAGAGGAGGTGCAGGAAGTTCAAGAGGCATCAGAAATGAAGGGAGCAGATGAGGTAAAAGAGACTGTAGAACAAGAGGATGAGAACAAAAATGTTACAGAGGTTCCTGTGCAAGAAGCACCACCCAAAAAAAGGATGCGTCCCACCTTCAAAGAGGCAGCACTGAGAGCTTACAGGAAGCAGATGGCTGAGCTGGAACAGCAGATCCTGGCAGGAGGTATGAACCAACCAGTTATGTGTGTTTACATGCTGACTTAATATAGTTGTCTTGAAAGGTTTTAGTCAAAGCTTTGGTCAGTGAGCCATTGATTGAGTCAATTGAGATCCACCATTGTCCATATGATGTATTTCTAAGGTCTTGGTTCATGAAATCTCAGACTCTATTAAGGGATGTTCTGAAGGGCAAGAAGATGATTACTAGTTAGAACTGGCTATTGATTTTGTGTGTGTGTATGTGGTTGTCCAGTGCCTCAGAGTTCAGATGAAAGTGTACTTCACCTTTTGTGGCCTTCATTAACTTTAGAGAGTCCAATCAACAGTTTCATCAACACAGCTTTTTATATTTAAGCATTTATTTTGAATGAAATATAATAATGTTCTTCTCATCATTTACGGTCACTGTGATTCCAAAGCATCGTGGAACATGAAAAGAGACAATTTGACAATGTCTATATGTAGCACTTTCTTATTCACTAGATGCATATATTTATCATTGGATGTCCAAAAAGGCATCATAAAGTAGTACATTTGACTTGTGTGCTATATTTCCTCTGATGTCATACAATAGCTTTGTTTCAAGTTGTTACTCATTGGAAATCGTGCCGCCATCGTAGCTCTCATTGTGCACATGCATTTTCAGATCAGGCCAGGGTTGATGTCAGTGACAGCAAACAGCATTGGCTCTTCTTGTAATGTGCACCACATTTGAATTTATGCATATGTGTAGTTTTATTTTGGGTGAATTAGTCCTCTTATAACTGCAAGCAGTCTCAAAGGTGTTTTCAAAGTCAGTGTACTCTTTAAACAGATGTCAATATATGATTAACGGAATGATTATTAGGAGTTGCTGTTGTTAACAGCTGAAAAGTGGCATCTGTATGCCAGTCAGGAATCAGGGGAATTTCCACCCAGTCTTACTCACACTGAAAGCGCTCTTGACCTAGATGTGAGAATCACAGTCACAGCACACGGCAAGCCCAGCGCCGCACTCCACAATGCTGAGTACTGTTGGGATACTGTATTTAGGCTGCTCATTCATGCTGCACACTAACAGCCAGATGCTCCGTGTACTATAGTGGATTCTGATTCCCTAAAACACAAGCCACAAATCACAGACCAAATCAGTTCATCACAGGCATTACAGTGAGGTTTAGCACAATTCAACAATTGGATTCCAGAAATGATTGCACTTTCACTGAGATGTTTTACGTGCATGTAGAGTGCAGATTCAGCAAATGCACAATTACTTCATTTAACTTCTTGCATTGCATCACTACTGTTGTGCATTTAGCACCTGATTAAAGGCATTGTAACGGTGCTTCAACACAATAGACCTTTGAGATCTGAAAGAGTGCTTTCTACACACTGACAGAAGCTTTAGTCTGTGAAAATACAGCATCTATATAATAGGACAAGGAACAGACTGTTCTGCTGACACTGAGTTGGTGCGCTTGGCAGGTTGAGCATTTCATTTTAATTTCAGCTAGAAAAAGACAGTCACCCTATGAAGAGGGTGCTGTTCTCTTAGGGCTTTCACTTTTATGACACTATAGGCACTTGTTGAAATGTGATGTCTATTAGTTACATTAGTGTCTGAGTGTGTATGTTCAAATATATTA